TTAGGAGAGTACCCCAGAATGGCGGCCGGCGGGTGCCACGCGGGGGCCAGGACATCAGAAGCGACAAACACACTCCCAGAGAGGGGACAGCAGAGGACAGCAGCTCCTGAGAGGGCCTGCTCCTAGGGCCTGTTCAAGGTGTATCTGGTAAATAATTAAACAGGGAGCCTAAAAGATATGTCAGGATGGGAGATGAAGTGCAAATTCCTAATAGAAATTGGAGGAGCTAACGGCCTTCAAAGCTGCAGTTCTGGGCAATTTGCGGATTTGCAGTAATGGTGAGAACCCAGAAGCAATTCGAGTTTCTTGTTAGTGTGATTCCTCATCAGCTTTTAATAGTCAGGGAGAGACTATCCCGAGGTTAGGTGGCTGTGGAGGGAATTTCAGTTTCAAAGGGGTGAAGGTTTTGTTGCTGCATAGCGTTGGGTGGGTATTTTAAATGCACTGATTGGATTCTTTTTTAGAGAAAAGATCCAAGAGTTGGATCTGGAGGTGGGGGTTTCATTTTCTGTGGGAAACATTGTGAAGTCAGAAGATATTATCTTTACACTTGATATTGACTGATGCTGAGAAAACACAAATGGGAAAAGCATGCAAACCATGCAGTGAACACCTATTATGTCTCAGCCACAGTAGTAGCTACTTCACATTCCTTTATTCTCATTTTAATATTGTGAAGTGGATGGTATTAGCTCCAATACAAACTAAGAAAAAGGAAGCTCAAAAGAGTACATTTTTCTAGCTCTTGACCCCTCAGATGTGTCCACAGATCCCCCACCCACTGAATCAGAATCTGTCTCAACCAGAGGCTGGAACATTCTGGAAGGCCCATTCTCTGTGTCATTTGAGTGAGTTCCCATAGAGACCTGGGGAAGACAGACCAGTGGTATAGCCAAGCCCAAGTCTTGCCTGCCATCTCTGCCACGCTAATTCACTTCAACCCAAGGAGTCCTCACCGGGAAATGCATTCATGGAGGACTATCTTCTGTCTGGCTCAGCTGGACTGGAAGAGGAGCAACCGGGACAGAATCCGGCGCCCCAACCGGGACTAGAACCCAGGGTGCCGGCGCCGCAGGCAGAGGATTAGCCTAGTGAGCCGCGGTGCTGGCCCCACACAAGTTTACTGAGCAACCACTTATTACTCACTGGGTTAGGGCAGTAGGTTCTGGAGCCAGACAACCTGGATTTAGCTACAGATCTGCTAAATGCCGGTTCTGTGACCTCAGGAAACCTCTTGATTCCTCAGTTTCCTTATTGTAAAACAGGGATACTAATGGAGTTGGCAAGTAGAACAGAGGTGGCATGGAATAAAGCATACAGAAAGCACTCAATGGATGCCGGCTCTCATTATCCTTATGTTGTCTATGTAGGCTGTGTATAGTGTGCAATAAGAGAGATGTGACTCCTGCCCTTCCACCAAGGAGTTTAGCTTTAAAGGGGGAAAAGATAGTAACGGGGTATCACGATACATGCCAGGCGAGGAGAACAGGGAACTTTGGAAATACATGTAAGAGAGGAACTTGACTCATCAAAGGAATTAGGGAATATTTAATGTGCATCTGATATTTCCCTATGCTCAGAAGTTGAGCAAGGAGTCTTCCCAGCACAGGGAGCCCCATGAAAACCCTAGCGAGGAACCCCACGCACTGGGCACTGAGAGGCTCTCTGGGAGCTGAGACAGGGAGCGAGGGTTCTAGCAACACCGAGGAGTGGGCATCTCAGCCTCCCCTCCAACACCCGAGAATACTGCAGACAGAAGGAAAGCCCCCCACAAGTGAGGAACTTCCAGCTACTAGAATTGAAGAAGGGGCTGGAGAAAGCACTCAGGTTTCCCCGCCGCCCTTGTAGGAGTCACTCATCGCGGTAACCCTGGGTCTTGCTTGGCTAAGATGTGAGGAGGCTCTGGGCTGCAGGAAGGAAAAACTCAAAACTGAGCTCCTTCCATGAGGCTGAGACACGGAAGGAGAATTAAGAAAACTCACTCACCAGCATAGAGCCAGAAAGAAGGGGAAGTCTATATTTGAGGTGAAGAAATGGGAAGAAATCACTAGATTCATACTTTGAAAATGTCATCCTAGCAGCAAGTGGAGGATGGCAAAGATGATATGGGTGTATAAGAGAAGAGACTTGGGGCTGGTGCTGTGGAGTAGCTGGTAAATTCACCACCTGCAGTGCCGGCATCCCATATGGACACTGATTAGAGTCCCAGCTGCTCCACTTCTGATCCAACTCTCTGCTATGGCCTGGGAAAGCAGTGGAAGATGGCCCAAGTCCCTGGGCCCCTGCACCCATATGGGAGACCAGGAAGAAACTCCTGGCTCCTGGCTTTGAATCAGAGCAGCTCTGGTCATTGTGGCTATCAGGAGAGTGAACCAGCCGATAGAAGACCTCTCTCTGCCTCTCTGCGACTCCACCTTTCAAATACATAAATCTTAAAAGAGAGAGAGAAAGAGAGAAGAGGCTTACCATGCAGGTGAGACTACCCGTGGCTTTAACTAGGGCAGGAGGAATGGCCTGATTCATTTCGGGTCCAAAAGTGTCACCATAATTGATTAACAGAGCTTAACACGGAGCTTAGGAAGTGGTTCTATAAAGTGAAATGAATCAAACACAAGGGTGAGCCTTCCAGAGACTGGGACCATACAGGCTCCAGGATCCTGGTTATAGACGATTTCGACAATGTCAACGTAGGACAGCACAGTCCAGGAGCAGAATCACCGGGCTGAGAAAGAAGGGACCCTTCAGTTCCTGCAGGAGAAGGACCATGGCTACTCCTGCAGGGGAAAGGGGATGGCAGAGAAGAGCGGGAGCCCTGAGGAAGGTGGGAGATGGTTTTTGGCTCATAACCAGAGCTGAAGTGGGATTCTGGGAGGGACTAAGAGTCCCACCAGAAGGAGCAGTGTTAGTGATTGCAAATTGTTTCAGGGTAGAAGACCAAGTGGTTTAGTCAGCATCTCATGCATCTCGTGTGGCTGAAAGAGGTGAGAGGGATAGAAGCCTGCTTTCTATTCAGTGTGTGGTCCTTGGACGGTCAGCACGGTTCCATGGGGAGGCTCTTGGGAATGTGGAATTCTGATCCCACCCTGGGGCCTCTTGAACAAGAATCTGCATTCGAACATGGACCCAGAGATTCCTATGCACATAGCATTTTAAGATCCACTGAGGTGGAAGACCACATCACCGAAACCCTGTGTAACCAAAGATATAGTATTTACCCTTTATAGTATATTTGAAGACAGCTTTGTAATATTCCAGCTCACCTATGGAAAAACCTAAGACAGAAGATATTTGGCCACAACCAGGCCATAATAATTGGAGATACTGGAATTTTCCTGCAAGTCAGATTGATAGATACAATAACAGGACAAAACTAATCTAAAAAAATAGAATGAGGTGGTAAAAGAGATACGACCTTGAGAACTAGTTAAGAGCTCTAATTCTTGAGTTCTTTCCACTTTCATCAGGTGAAATGAGCAGCCAACTGACATCAACCTCTAACTCAAGGTTAGGGTGAAATTCACAACTTCAGGAACTTTGAGCTGAAGCAAAGCTTTTTTCCCAACAATGTGTTAAAATCCTCTTAGATTACATCAGTGTCGCCATATGAGGTATTTTTCACCCATGATGCAATTGGAATGACTACAGGCCATCACTAAAGTCCGTTTCAGGGCACTGCCATCCATCCAGTCAGGGAGTACACCCTGAGCACCTGCTGTGGGCCTGGAATGGACACTGGAGATGCAGCAGTGAACAGGACTAGTCCCATGGGGGCCACCGCTCTGAAAGTGCTTCAGTTCTTTTTATTTTTTTTTAAGATTTATTTATTTATTTGGAAGTTAGAGTTTGACAGAGAAGAAGGAGAGGCAGAGAGAAAGAGAGAGAGAGAAAGGTCTTCCATCTGCTGGTTCACTCCCCAGTTGGCCACAATGACCAGAGCTGGGCTGATTCGAAGCCAGGAGCCAGGAGCTTCTTCTGGGTCTCCCATGCGGATGCAGGGGCCCAAGGACTCCGGCCATCCTCTACTGCTTTCCCAGACCATAGCAGAGAACTGGATGGGAAGTGGAGCAGCCAGGACTTGAACCAGCGTCCATATGGGATGCTGGCACTTCAGGCCTTACCCGCTGTGCCGCAGCGCCGGCGCCAGTGCTTCAGTTCTGTGAGATTAAATATACTCATGGCATTTCATTTCTAGCTACCTTTCCAGAGTGTTCGTTATTAACAAGGATCGTGTTTGTAACTCTGCATGCGGTAGGCCAAGAAACTGTTCTATCAGCACGTCTGTGGTTGTCCTGCCTAGAACAACATGATGAGCGCATCAGAAACCCTCTGTGCTGTAGTTTTAGGAATATTTTCCGTCAGCTTCAATATACTCCTGCCTGTAGTGAAAAGCCCCAAGAGTCCGAAGGGATGGCAATTCAGCACATAAATATGTAAAATTCTCCTTGAATTAATGGACTTGCTTGGGGTTTTCTTCTTTCTGTTATCTCTCTCTGTGTTTTTTTTTTAGTTCTGTAAAACTGTCGCTTGGGTCTCTTGGGGGAAGACGTGAGAACTGAGCGGTACAGCACTGCATCGCCGCTAGTCTGTGTCTCTAGATGGCCTCGCTGGGTCTCTACAGGCTGCCGATTAAGATCAGCTGCAGCACCTGTGGAGGAACTCTGGCTCCTCTTCTAGCCAAAGATATGCAGGTGCAGAAACTGCTCTGGAAGCCAGGGGCTGTGGGTGAGTGGAACTGAACCCCTCACTGTGTTCCCATTCCTTTCTCTCAGGGCTATACATTCCTTCCTTTGCCATCAGTAACCACAGAATTGAGGCTGCCTCTGTGTTTAACTATACCTGTGTTAGGCAAAACCATAACAAAATTGGGGTGCCTTGGCAAAAAACTGGAGGAAATTTGAACATTGTGTTAGGGAGATAAGACAATAAAAGTAGATGTTAATGTTAGCCATCACTGACTTAATTTGAGTAGAAGATAGAAAAATACATTCTCTGTATCTTACCTCTGTGTCCCCTTCTTCTGTCCCCACTGCTATGCAGCAACTGAGCCCCTGTCTCCAGGGAGGGAGATTGTAGAAGGGCTGGTCACCTCCGACACCCAGTGCCCGGGAGCCAATTCTAGCAAGCACAGCTTTGTTGGTGACACTAGCACTCATCTGGTTGGAAGGTGAGGACATATTCTGGACTATGCAGGGCCTTCTTCAAATACAGTCATCCCCCTTGTCCATGGGGGAATGCATTCCAAGAGCCCTGAAACCACAAGTACCAAATCCTTCATACATCTGATTTTTTCCTACATATATACATACATACGATAAAGCTTAATTGATCAATTAAGCACAATAAGATATTAACGGCAATAACTAATAGTGAAACAAAGCAATTATGACAATACACTGCAGTGAAATTTAGGTGAATGTGTCGTTTCTTGAAAGAGGCAAGACGAATAGTCTTATCTTCCAACCACAGGTAACCTGGAGTGATTGAAACCCCGGCTAAGGGCGGACTGTTGGATCTCCTTTTTGCTGGCGGCTGCTTGCCCACTTGTGCCCTTGCAGGGTCAACCTTTTGTGTTCTTGGCTGTCTTTCTCCAGGCATCGGCAGGCACTGCCCTGGCTTTCCTGGCACTCTGTTTGGATTCTCCCCCTTCCTCTCTGTTCACACAGCCGCAGCCTGGACCTAGTTTTCTCTTCCCTGGAGTACTGCACTAGTTCATCTTCTGGGGTTCACTCTTTCTCCACACCCATGTACCCCACTAAGGTGATCTCATGTAAAGAACACTTTTCTTCTATGACTTCTTGGTTTAGAAATGCTATGGGAAGATTCTGCGCAGTTTAATTTAATGTTTATGTGTGTAGGTATGTGTGGACCATAGAATCAGATGGACTTGAGATTGAATCCCATCTCCACCAGTTACTTACTTACACGTTTTATAATCTCCCTAATCTTTAGAGTTTTAGCTTTGGCTTTTTTTAAATTGTTATAAGATATATACAACATAAAATTTGCCATTTTAAGTGTGTGTGTGTGTGTGTAAGTAATGCAACTAACTTAGCAATGGTTTGATCCCAGAATTAATTAACAGTTTACAATCAATAAGTTTTTTATATTTACTTGAGAGGCAGAGTTACAGACAGAGAAAGAAACAGAAAGAAAGGTCTTCCTTCCGCTGATTCACTCCCCAAATGGCCACAACGGAGCAGGGCTTATCTGGAGCCAGGAGCCAGGTGCTTCCTCCGGGTCTTCCATGTGGGTGCAGTGGCCCAAGCACTTGGGCCATCTTCTACTGGTATCCCAGGCCATAGCAGAGAGCTGGATCGGAAGAGGAGCAACCGGGACTAGAACCAGCACCCATATGAGATGCCAGCACTTCAGGCCAGGGCGTTAACCCACTGCACCACGGTGCTGGCCCCTGACATACTACTTTCAAGATTAATTCCTGTTGAACTTTGTATCAGAACTTCATTTTACAGCTGAATAACATTCCATTGCGTGTGGAGAACACATTTTGTCTATCCATCCATCTGGTGATGAACAATCACGTTGTTTCCATTTTTTGGCTTTTGTATATCATGATGCCACAAGCACTGGTGTACAAGTATCTGCCTGAATTTCTCTTTTCAGTCCTTTTGTGTATATACCCAAGCAGAATTATTATTGACTCTTAGGCTGCTATCGACTGAATTGCGTTCTCCCAAAACCCGTTTTTGATGGTGTTTGGAGATGGGGCCTTGAGTAGGTAAACAGGTTTAGATGAAGTACTGAGAGTAGGACCCTCATAAAGGGATTAATGCCCCTATAAGAAAAGAAACATAATTAAAAGCTCTCTCTGCCATATGAGAATTCAATGAGAAGGTGACCACCTGCAGGACAGGAAGAGAGCTCTCCACAGAAACCGAATCATCTGGCACCTTGACCTTGGGACTTTGTGGCCTCCAGAACTATCAGAAAGACCCCTCTCTTGCTTGCACCACCCAGTCTGTGGTATCTTGTATGACAGTCCAAGAAGACTCAGCTATAGGATAAGTCTTTAGCTTTAAGTAACTATCAAGCTGTTTTCCCCAATGGTCATACTGCACCATTTTATATTCCACCAAGCAATGCCCAAGGAATAGTTCCGCTTTCTCCATATTCCGCCAGCATGTGTTATTTTCATAGTTGTGTGTGCGTGGGTGTGTTTTCATTGTCTAGAAGATATGAGGTGGTACCTCATTGTGGTTTTGATTTACATTTTCATGTTGACATAATGTTGAGCATCTTTTAATGTGTCTGTTGATCATATGAATACATTCTTTGGAGACCTTTTTAATTGTGTTGAGTTTTTGTTATTGTTATTGTTGAATTTTAGGGTTTTTTATATATTCTGGATATACAATCCTTACCATGTGTATGATTTACAAGTGGTTTCGCCTGTTCCATAGGTTGTACTTTTACTTTCTTGATGGTGCACAAAAGCCTTACATTTTTATTACATACAATTTACCATTTGTTGTTGTCATTGTTTATACTTTTGGGTCATATCTAAAAATCTACTGCCAAATTCAAGCCACAAAGACTTACTCCTATATTTTCTTCCAAGAATATTATGGCTTTAGTTTTTACACTTAGGTTATTGATCTGTTTTGAGTACACAGTATGAAGTGAGGCCCCAACTTCAAACGATCATATGTAGAAATCCAGTTGTCCCAGAACCATTTATCAAATGAAGTTGATAAACTCCCCTTCAAATGGAGTTGACATCCTTGTCACAAATCAGATAGGCATAACTGATGCCTAACTGATGCCTGACATGGTTTAGTTTAATTCTGAGCTCTTAATTCTAGTCCACTGGTTGATCCTCACATCAGTATCAAACTGACCTGATTAATATCCTTATGTAATAAATTTTGTAATTGGATATGATTCTTACAACTATGCCTATTTCAAGATTACTTTGGTCATTTGGAAACCTATGAAATTCTGTATGAATTTGGTAATTTGCAAAAAAAAAGTTTTTGAAAATTTGGTAGGGATTGCACTGAATCTGTATTCCTTTGGAAGCATTGCCATCTTAGCAATCTAAAGTCTTCTCATCCATGAACATGGGTGTCTTTCCTTTATTAATGTCAGCCATGTTTATAGTTTCCATTGTCTCTCACCTTCTTGTTCAAATTTATTCTTGTTATTGTATTCTTTTAGTTATTATTATAAATAGAATTTCATTCTTAATTTCCTTTTCAGATTTTTCACTGCAAGTTCATTGGATTTTTTTTTTATCTTGCACTCTGCAACTTTGCAGAATTTATTTACTTGCATTAGTAACTTTCTTACTAATCTTTCTTACAGATTTTTAAAAGTTCCTTCACACAGAATCATAGTATCTGTTTAGAGGCAATTTCATTTCTTCTTTTCCAATGTGGATTTCTTTTATTTCTTTTTCTTTTCCAATGGTTATAGATAGAATTTCCAGTAATAATATTGAATATCAGAGATAAAAATGGTTATCCTTGTCTTGTTCCTCATGGATAATTCACTTATTTAGTGCAAAAAATTGTTTAGCACAGTTGTTGCAGGCATTTAGGGAGTGAACCAGCAGAGGAAAGATCTCACTCTCTGTCTCGCCTTCTTTCTTTTTTTTTTTAAATTTATTTCTGCACCAAAACACCTTTATCTTTTATTTATTTATTTTTAAATATTTATTTTTATTTATTTGGAAGACACAGTTACAAAGAGAGGTAGAGACAGAGAAAGAAAGAGAGGTCTTCCATCTGCTGGTTCACTCCCCAAATGGCCACAACAACTGGAGCCGAGCCGATCCAAAGCCAGGAGCCAGGAATTTCTTCCTGGTCTCCCACGTGGGTGCAAGGGCCCAAGCACTTGGGCCATCTTCTACTGCTTTCCCAGGTACATTAGCAGGGAACTGGATCAGAAGTGGAGCAGCCAGGACTCAAACCAACACCCATATGGGATGCCTGTGCTACAGGCCAGTGCTCTAACCCGCTGTGCCACAGGCTGGCCCTCTGTCTCACCTTCTTTCTATGGCAGCTTTCTGTTCAAATAAATCTTTAAAAAATTGACCTGTAATTATGTGTAGGTTACATGACTAAAGTTGGAAGGGAATTGCCCTAGTGCCTGTTTATGACTATAAATATGAAGAAACGCACTATGACTCAGAGGGTTAAGCCCCTGCCTACAGCGCCAGCATTCCATATAGGCACCAGTTCGAGTCTAGGCAGCTCCACTTCAAACCCATCTAGATGCTAATGGCCTGGGAAAAGCAGCGGAAGATGGCCCAAATCCTTGGGCCTCTGCCACCTGTGTGAGAGACCCTGAAGAAGCTCCTGGCCCAGCCCTGGCCGTTGCAGACATTTGGGGAGTGAACCAGTGAATGGAAGATTTCTTTCTCTTTCTGTTTCTCCCTCTCTCTCTCTGTAATTCTGCCTTTCTTTTCTTCTTTTTTTTTTTTAACAGGTGGAGTTAGAGAGAGAGAGAGACAGAGAGAAAGGTCTTCCCTTCGTTGGTTCACCCCCCAAATGGCCGCTACAGCCGGCGCTACGCCAATCCAAAGCCAGGAGTCAGGTGCTTCCTCCTGGTCTTCCATGAGGGTGTAGGCACGCAAGCACTTGGGCCATCCTCCACTGCCCTTCCGGGCCACAGCAGAAAGCTGGACTGGAAGAGGAGCAACCGGGACTAGAACCCGGCGCCCATATGGGATGCCGGCACTGCAGGCAGATGATTAACTAAGTGAGCCACGGTGCCGGCCCCTGCCTTTCAAATAAATAAATAAATCTTTTTTAAAAGAAAAATTCATGAATCCAAATATTATACAAACTCTTATCTTTTAATTTACTTATGCTTTATTCATGTTCAGTATTTTTTTTAAATCCTAGAGGTTTTTGTTTAGTGAATCATACCTGCACTCCCATGTGGTCTTAGAAAAGAAAGACATAAAATCACTGTTTCAATACAGTATATTCTTGAGCCACCAACTAAGCTGAAATCCATATTTTACTATCAACAGAGTTCGGGAGATACCTGATCTTTACTGCAGAGAAACTTTCCTCATATCCTTGCTATCAAACTGCCATGTGAATTGTGTCATGCCATGTGGGTTGAGAAAATTATTGTGCTTAACCTGAACTTTGAAGAAGTAGCCATGTTATGCATCTATCATACTGCGCATATATTTTCAGGGGCACTTCTCAAATATTTTGTGCTTAAAAGAAACTTCTAGAAGTCCAGAGGTTGTTAGCAAAAGATCAGAATTCCGT